AAATATTAATTATAGTATATATAAATATACAATGAATATACACTATTATTGTAAAATTATTTCTAATTAATATAATTTTGTTGGTAGTTATTTTCTATAATTATTAATTGATATAAGTGAAATTAGTTATTTACAATATTATTTAGTTATTGAAATAATATTGTTATTAAAATTCTTAAAATATTAATTATTTATTGAATTTAATAATCCATAAAATTATAATTTTACTATTATTATATAATTCGTTATTCATTTTGTATAATATTAATATGAATTCTATTATAATTATTTTTCCACTTTTAAGATTTTTTTTTAAATTTATTACATAATTTCGTTATTTTAACTATTTAAAATTTTGTCATGTTAAACATTTAAATAATATGTAAAATATTTAAAAATTGTCATTAGTTGAATTTTATTTATTTTAATGTTATTATGTAATATTAAACATTTTGTTATATTATTTATCTATTTTTAATGTTTCTTATTTAAGATTTTTAGTTAATGAAATATTTAAATAATATTTTATTTTTAAAATTAAGTTTTTATTATTTGAATAACATTTAAATTGAATAATTCATAAAATTATAATTTATATTGTTACTACATAATTTCATGATGAATTTTATAAAAATATTTAATTATTAATAATATGAATATTATTAAATCTATTTTTTTGTGTTTTGAATAAATATTTAAATTTAGTATATAATTTCATTATAACATTTAAATAGTTCTGAATTTTTTTAATTGAAACTTTCTTTAGATAGATAGATTAAATTTGGGGGAGAGGATTAATAGGAATTAGAGATAGTTTAGGAGAGAATCTCTCTACTAAATTAAAGATAATTTAAGAGATAAATAGGACTTAAAGATAATTTATGAGATAAATAGTAATTAGAGATAATTTAGGAAAAGGTGGGGGAAAGTAGTGCCACTTGGATAAAGGTTGGAAAAGCATATGTAATTTCCTTATTAGTTTAATGGGTAATTATGTGAAATTATAAAATAAAAAATTCAAAAAAAACAGAAAATTTGGAAGGGGGTTTGAAGCAAAGAGGATAAATAGGAATTCGAGAGAGTTTAGGAGAGAATCTATCTACTAAATTAGAGATCATGTAAGAGATAAATAAGAGTTAGAGATAATTTATGAGATAAATAGGAAATAGAGACAATTTAGGAAAAAGTGGGGGAAACTGAGAAAGTTGTACCACTTGGCTAAACATAAGAAAAGCAAATCCCTCTTTCTTTATGGTTGTTAGAATTTAGAAATAATTAAGCATATGTGATTTCCTTATTGGTTTAATGGGTAATTATGTGGAATTCAAAAAATAAAAAAAAAAAACAAAAAATTAGGAAGGGGGTTTGAAGCAAAGGAGAGGTATGGTGACATGGACAAATCAATATATATATAGAGAGAGAGAGATAATATTGAAATAAAAAATTTTATATTAGTATATATAGAAATATTATATATTTTTTTATACTAAACTGGAATTAAATAAAAAATTAATTTGTAAAAAATCATAGTTTTATAATTAACATAGACCTCTTTATAAAAAAAAAAATGTGCAAGCCCGAGCCCAAGCTTTGTTAAGCGAAAATTAAATAATAGAAATACATAAGAGTGTGTGATTGTTTTATATTTTAACTTATTAATAAACAATCCAATCAAACTCAACCCGAGTTGGTCGATTTTTCTAGTATTTCAGATCGTCTTTGGTTTAATAAATATATATTAATATTTTATATTTTAAACTTATTTTTTTAATACGGGAAAGTAGGAAATTTCCCATATTTGTTAGTCTAAAATATTTTATATCATAGATTTAACTATTGTAATTTATTTCTTAATAATATCATTGTAATTTATGAAATTTAAAGTTAACTTTTAAGTTTAAATATTTTGAACAAACAAACAAAACTGAAAATAGACCCAAATCGATACAACCCAAGTTGGTGGAATGGTCAATCGGTTTCGAGTGACAAATTGCAGACTTGACCAACGCGATTTGGTTGGTAAAACATCCTACAACTAAACTGAATCAATCATTGAACACTCATAATTTCAACTAAATTTAGAGTCTAATCTCTAATAAATAACAATATTTTGATCTCCAATAATTATTGAAAATTTATAGCAAACGTACACAATCATTGAAAATAAGTTTATAATGAAAACATAATAGATATATAATAAAAATACAATAATTAGAAAAATATAATAAATACTAAAAATATACTAAATTAGTCAATAAATAGTGTAATATTAAATAATAGCTTAATCTCTAATAAGTATTAATCTATAAATTATAAAAAATATATAATTACTAAAAATAAATTTATAACAAAAATACAATAAATAGGATGAATTAAATTTCAAAAGTTAAATAATAGTTGTTTAATCTCCAATAATTATTGATAAGTTCCTATTAAATAACAAAAATAAAAATTCATTTATAAATAATTATTGAAATCATATTTATAAAAAACAATAAATAATTACTGAAAATAAAATAAATATTAAATATAGTATATATAAATATGTAATGAATATACACTATTATTATAAAATTATTACCAATAAATATAATTTTGTTGATAGTTATTTTCTATAATTATTAATGTTAAATTTTTATTATTTGAATAACATTTAAATTGAATAATTCATAAAATTATAATTTATATTGTCACTACATAATTTCATGATGAATTTTGTAAAAATATTGAATTATTAATAATATGAATATTATTAAATCTATTAACTTTTTGTGTTTTGAGTAAATATTTTAAATTTAGTATATAATTTTGTTATAACATTTAAATAGTTCTGATTTTTTTTTAATTGAAACTTTCTTTAGATAGATATAGATAAAAAGTGGGGGAGAGGATTAATAGGAATTAGATATAGTTTAGGAGATAATCTCTCTACTAAATTATAGATAATTTGATAGATAAATATGAGTTAGAGATAATTTAGGAGATAAATAGGAATTAGAGACAATTTAGGAGGAAATGGGGGGAAAGTGGTGCCACTTGGCTAAACATTATAAAAACAAATCCCTCTTTGTTTATCGTTGTTAGAAATAGTTAAGCATATGTGATTTCCTTATTGGTTTAATGGGTAATTATGTGGAATTAACAATTCAAAAAAAAAAAAAAAACAGAAAATTAGGAAGGGGGGTTTGAAGCTGCTGATATGGCAGGACCAATTTTAATATATATATATATATATATAGAGAGAGAGAGAGAGAGAGAGAGAGATAATATTGAAATAACAAAATTTATATTAGTATATATAGAAATGTTATATTTTTTTATACTAAACTAGAATTAAATAAAAAATTTTATTTGTAAAAAATCTTCTATAATTAACATAGGCCTCTTTATCAACAAAAAATGTGCAAGCCCAAGCCCGAGCTCGACCCAACCATCGGGCCTAGATCTTGAGTCTGAGCCCGACCCTTATATAAAGCCCGAAGCTCGAGCCCAAGCCCGAATCCCGATCTGTACACAAAATGTCTTATTTTTATTATACTTTTATAAAATAATATTATATTAATTTAGTAATAATTTAATAAATTAATAACATAAGTACTTGTTTATGTATGTAATAATATCGGGGCCGGGCTTATTTGAGAAAGCCTGAGCTCGAGCCTACGGGCCTGAAATTTTGTGTAAGCCTGAAAAAATAACAGTGAGGTTAGGCCGGGCCATCGAGCTACCCGACCCATGAACTGGTCTAATTGTATGTATAAACAATTGTATACATAAAAAATCATAAGAAATAAAAATTTAAACACCTTTTTCATTTTTTTTAAATGGACCTCTCATAGCTTGGTCTGGTCCGCAGCCTGACCTGGCCCAAGGCTCGGCCCATAGACTAGCCCAGCATGGGCCCGTGCGAGCTCGAGCCATGGGCCATGCCGAATCGACCCAATATCCCAGGGGAGGGAGGGAGAGCCCGCGGGTCGAGCACTGTCCATTTTACACCCATGGCCCGCACTTTGTGCATGCCACATGCAGGTCATGCCATGCTAGCCTAGCACAACCCGATTTACACCTTTATTTGAACCCACCCAATACTGGGGACAAAGTAAGGAAATTCGAGGATTCCCCATCCTTGATGAAGAGTGGGGTTGCCTTGCCCCCGAACTTGCCCAACATTGAGGAGTGGTTTTCTTACCTTGAACCCGCTTAACACTGTGGATGAGGTGGGGATGGAGTAGAATGTTTTGACTACGGGGCAGGGATAGGGATGGAGTGCCCTGCTTTGAATCCACCCCATTGTCATTCCTATATAATTGTTAATTATTGGTGAAATTAATAAAAATTTTAGCTTTTGTAATTATTTTTATTTTTTTAAAAATTTAATCAAAATTTCATTTAAAAATAATAAAAAGTATTAAAATTACTACAAATTATTAATAAAAAAATATTTATTCATATTAAATTAGCAATAATTATTTTCTGTAAATTAACATTAAATGAAAAATACAATTATTAAAATTTTATATATTAATAATAATTTGAATACTTTTAGTTAAGTAACAATAGATTTTGATTATTAATTTAATATTAATTAATAATAAATATAATTATTAAATCTTTCAGATTTTCCCTCGGGTTTCCGCTTGTAAGCTTATTATAGCTGTCCGGGTGGGGCCAACCTCAAAAAGCCGGTACCTGAAACTTCATCGGGAGATGTTCCCAGTACACGGTGGGGATGTGCTGTGGGACGTCGTGGGGGGCGATTTGAACTCCTCGCAAGTGGGACGTCGTGGGGGGCGATGTGCTGTGGGACGTCGTGGACGTCGTGTGGGGTGCTGATTTGAACTCCTCGCAAGTGGGCACTCCACATCAACCCTGAGGCTTGAGCCCGCTGACCGTTTACGCTGCGCCTGCAAGGTGTGAAGGTGGTGTGTGCTAGTTCCGAGTTTCACCGACTCCGGAGCGAGGAAGCCATATTTAATCGATTCAATCTGACGCGAGGTACGCTCCTCTCACAATTTCTGTTGTTCCCCTTGGTCGTTGCTTACTGAAAACCTTACCTTTGTTCATCGCTGTTTCAGTTTCGTTAGCTGTGTAGAAAAAACCCTAGTTTCGGTTTTCTCTTTCCTTCACTAAGCTCGTCTGTTTCGTAAAATTTCTGCAATCTATAGTTGTCAGGCTGGTTTGTAACAACACAAACGCATCAATTGTTGTAAGGTAGCGTCCGGGAACGAAGCTTACATACTTTTGTTTTGGCAGGTTCAAGCAGACTATTGGGATTATCTGTTGGTGGTTTTCGACTATAAGTAAACATGCAGGTAAGTCCCTGATCTGTAATGAAGGTTTTATTTTCCTCATTTCGTGCAACCGCAGAACATATAGAGCTTTCCTTTTCCCGTTTACAGAAATTATGCACAAGTGTATGGAGTTAATGGCTTAATTCCTTTACCTGTTTGTACTAAAAATTAGATATTGAATTGGACTGTTCTCCCAATTATGAAAAAAGAGGTTCGATGAAACTGCCAGACTTTATCTCTGTTAATTAGCATTTCACATGGCTTATCAATCCATTCTGTGGTCCAAGTGTTGTGGTCTTGTGGGAGACCTAAAAGGTATGACAATAGAGGTTAATTTTAAAATATCTACTGCACTAAGATCTGAAGTGGCTTCAAAGAGAATCTTTTTAGAAGGTCCAAATACTTCCTACATGACCCGTATAGGTTTTAGATTTAGTGCCTGTGAAGTTTTTCCACATGCTCCAAGGAAACTTGCAATACAATGGTGTGATAAGTTAGTTCTTTATTGCTTAGGATCCTTTGAAACATCCAAATAAATTTTCATCCTTTCCTATTGAAATCTTTAGAGCCATCTGCCAAAGAATAATGCCAAGGGCTGAAATTCTTGACCTTTGGAATAAATAATATTTTACAAGCAACCGAGTGGTAATTTCTATCCATACACCAACCTTTTCCCAGGAGAATAATTCTCCATATCTTTCAAAGAAGCAGCAGTTTCCAACATCATAAAGTGCTCTTTTTTTCTACTTTGTTTAGCACTAACCGATTGGTAACCTCACTTTTTGTTAAAACTAATGGACATAATAGAATTGGAAACTGCCTTAGGAGATTTTGATAAGTATCTTGGATTCTCATTTGAAGATTTCCAAGACGAACCTGAAGTTTTTTTATCAGTAACATCAATTTTAGTTTATTAAAATGGAGTGAAAGCATCCAAAGATGAAGAAGATGCCAATACAAGGAAATAGCCAAAGGTTGACCACACTTTTACTTGAAGGAACAGAAAAGGAATTTGCACATTGCTGGGGCTTGCTTAGATGCCTTTTGGACCATCAACATGGTCCACAAGTGAACTTTCCAATCACCTGTGTGACACATCTGAAGAAGTATAGAGATAAAGGATCTCCTTTTAAAAAGATCCTTGGGTTCATAAAATGGTCCTATGAGCACCTATTGACAAGGACAGGTAAATTGGTATAGAAATGCAAGCCTGCATGCATCTTCTCCACTTAACCTAAAAGGATAAAACTCATATGATTCAATATGCAATCCAAAATTTTGAATTCGCATGGTCAGACTTCTCCTTATCGATCTTGCAAATCCACCTCAGAGTTTCTATTACTCTTTAGTATTTAGGACATCATCCTAGATTTGTCTCCCTTGAACAAAGTTGCTTGCTTGGAACCATCAAGTAATTGGTTTTATGTCTTCAGTGCTCTTATCCCTTTCTCTGCTTGGAACCAAGGTGGTGAACTTAGTGTAAGCATTTCTTTTATTTTTCTATGCCTTTTCTTCCTTTGGTTGGTAAGGAAGTGAAAACTTATGCAAAAACTTATTAGAAGAAAATAAGGAGAATAAAGTCTGAAAACTACAGATTCAAAGACAAAGTGTAACAGGGTACCAATCAAGTAAGAGGTAACATCATGGAAAGGAAAACAATGCCTATAAAGAGGAAACAAGAAATAATATTATCAAGGGAACAAAAACCATTATGTTGCTCACTTCTCTTGATTTCATCCTGACGAGGCTTACAAGTTTACAGACATAGGGATCTGGTGGAATGGTGTCTACTCTAGATACCTAGGGTTCTTGCTTCCCTTTATGACCACCTTGGCTTCACTCTCCACTTCAGTGTGTTCAAATCCCCAAAAAATAATGCATTTGCCAAAGCTGCTATGATGCTACAAAACAATAAAGAAGAAATCATCATAAAGAGGACTGGCATTGAGAAACTATGTGATACCTGTCCCTCACTTCATTAACTCAGCTCGTGGACATTACAAGTAGACAATGTTTTGAGATCAGAAATGATTAAGTTGCATGGTATTGGTATCCAACATTCAGAAGACCTTTATTGGATAAAGAATTGAAGCAACACATCCAACATTTAGCAAGTTAGGAGCTGAAAATGTTTATCCCTCTGCTCCAGATTCAAGATGGTGGAAAGACTGCAGCAGCAGTAATAGATGTTTCTATGTAAAGTCATATTATAATGCAATAGTTAGAAACAAGTTGGAGCATTATGATATTAAAGGCATTTGGAACAGTCCTATTTTTCCAAGGGTCAAGATTTGCTTGGTTGCTTGCTCTTGACAGCATATTTACAATTGATTACTTGAAGAGTAGGGGTTCCAGGATTACCAGCCTTTGCTTCCTGTATAAGAAGAGCAAGGTTCCAAATATTGATACACCCCGATATGCTGGATGGGGCATATTGGGTGTTTCAACCCCATAGATCCCCCCCTTTTATTTTTTCCCTGAAACCTGTTCAGAGGTGTCAGTCTAAGGCTTCTCTGCCCCCTGAAATAGGTCAAAATACTAAAGCTTCAAATTTTGGCGTATCAGTGACCCACCAATATGATATGATACATCAATTGATAAATGATGAAAATTTGAACCTTGAATAAGACTGAAAAAGATGTTAGACATCTTTTTTTTTCTCTTTCCTTTTGGTGGAATGGTAAAGAATATTGTCTAATCAAATTACAATATAAAAAATATCTTTTTTTTTTTAATTTATTTCTTGTAGGTTGTGGATTTCATTTTGTCACTTTTCTCCTTTTGGAAAACTAGTTTTCAAGCCTTTAAATCCTCATGATATATTTTCTACATGGCCATCTTTTGCAAAATCTTATCCTAGATTTGGTTTTGGTTTGTCCAGAATTTGATGACATGGAAGAATGTAGTTTGCATCAAATTTTTGGTGTACCCTTAATATTGTTGTTGAAGATATCTATTTTTCCTGTCTTTTTTTTTATCAGCAAGAAACTTTTTAATTAATAAAATAGAAAAGGTTACAATCAGTTACAAAAGTAATAGGTAGCAGAAAAGCATTAATCTAATCTGCACCCACATACAATCAGCTACAGTACTGCCCAATACAATGTAGATCTATTTGCCCCCTGTTTTGCTAGGGTATCCACCATCCCATTTGCACTCCGTTTGACCCAACCAAACTGAGAGTTGATCCTCCATGTAAGTATGTCAATTTCTTTGAAGATAAATTTGAGCTTCCAAGGTACTGATGTGATGTTTTTTGCCCAAGAAATGACCAGTAGTGAGTCTCCTTCTATTTCTAAGTCTGTTATTCCTATTTGCTGAGATACCATCTTTAGACCTTGAAGTAGGGTCAGTGTTTTAAAAGCGCAAGGGCCAATTTGTGCCTGAGGCGCAAGGCGAGGCGCGTGCCTTTTTAAGAAAGGCGCAAAATTACAAAAAAAGCTAAAAAATTAAAAAAAGTCAGAAAATTAAAAAATGCCAAAAATTAAAAAAATTGCAAAAAATATTAAACAATGTTAATAAAAAATATAAACTTAAATTTTAAAATAAATGTTTTAAAAAACCTATTATCTAAAATTAAAATACATAAACATAACATGTAAAGCCTATTCAAATGAAAATTTAAAAATAAAAGCAAACATATAAAGCATTTTCAAGCATGTAAAACTCACAATATCTTTTTCTCCTTAATTGCATTGCTTCAAGTAGCTAATGTGATGTAAAACATATTGCAATCTTGATTCTATGAGTCGCCTTTGTACCACGCCCCTCGAGGCAAGCCCTAACAAGTCTATGGTAGGCTCTGAAATTCTTATTTCTCACATAAAAAATAATGATAGTTATAAAATCATTATTTTTTATGTGAGAAATAAGAATTTCAGACCCTAACATAGACTTGTTTGGGTTTGCCTCGAGGGGCGTGGTTGGGGGTTCGGGGGCAGAGCCCACAGCTCAGCCGTTAGACTCAAAAAACAGCAAAAAAGCGCAAAAATTTAAAAAGGCGCATGCCTGGGCTGAGGTGCACCAGGCGTGCGCCTTTTGAAAGGGGTGCGCCTAGGACCTGGGTGAGACGCATACCCCAAAATGCGCCTAGGCGCACCTTTTAAATCACTGACTACAAGGCTACAAGGGATCAAATACAGCAAATCAAATAAAGACGATAAATGAAGCTAACAATATTTTAAGAAATTTAACCAAAGAATACAATCAGAAAAGAAAAGAGAACAGGAAAAGGCTAAATATTAAGATGATAAAAGATCTCACCAAGCTACTTATAACTTTTTGCTATATCTTACCCATTTACTATTGTAGAGCCCAATTTTGGATGCTTCCAATTGCATAATCCTGCTAGTTAGGGATTTGAATGAACTTGGACCCATCTTTTCTTGAATTATCTTTCAAGAATCTTGGCTTCCACTCTCTTCATTCTCTAATAGCTTTTTCGTTTGTTTGATCTGAAATATATTAAAACCTACCAGCTCCTTTCTTTCCATCTGTGTCTAGCTAATCTTTGTTACAGGTGATGATTATCAGTGATAATGGGCTCTCACTCTATCGTTGGAAGCCTCTCCAAGTGTTATTTCCTTAAAGATTATCTCTGTTGCTACTTGCTAGAGCCTAGAAGGCTACTCTGATGTCATTCTCTTATCTAACCCAGATCCCTTGTCAACTAAATAATGCTAAAATGAAGATTGGCAACAAAAATCCCTTCTTACCTTCAGTCGTAATGGTGATGGGAGCAACTGCTAGAGAGAACTTCGTTAAATGAAGAAGGATATCGGTGGTAGCCTGGGGTTCAATCCCAAGGAGAAAAAGGTCTCTTCAGTGCTCCAGCAATTATGTTTTTTTTTTTTTGGTTATGTAAGATGTTGAGGCTTTATGATTTGAGTGTTATCTCAACACTCTACCTTCTATTACATAATCTTTTTCCTCTTTTTTTTTGTTATAATTAAACAAAACAGAAAAGTGAGGTGGCTACAACTTAATGGGTTCTAAGGGCAAAAGGGTGACTCTATTGATAGGTCTTCCATCTCATTGTTGCAGTGTATGCTATACCTGTTTTGATTATTGTGTACCATAAGGTATGCAGCCCTGAAGAGAAGTCTGAATTTCACTCTTTCACCTCCGCTTCGATAAGACCCCCCCTTTCAACTAATGTTATGCATCTTTATTCTTCTTAATATAAAAGATTTTTATTAAAAATAAAGAAAAAATAAAATCCCCCCTTCCTCTTCATCCTCCTCCCCTTCCTCCTCCTAACCCCACTCCTCTTAAGGAGGCTTGTGCTCGGGAGGCTTACGCCTCTTGCATTCTAAACTACACCTCATGCCTCTAGGTAGTAGAACGCTTCGCATCACACCTCTGTGTTTTAAAACATTGGTTTGTACCTAGCAATGTACCTAAATATTCTTTGTTATAGTTGAATACCATTCCCTCTTAAGCAAAACTAAAGAAATCAAAAGGACCAATGGGTGTCAATGTGAAGCTCTTTTGGATTTGGCTATATTGTGATGGGTGCTAATTAGTTTGGATTTGGCTCCTTTCAATGTCAATCTCTTGGTGACAGTGGTAGAAAAGACAAATTCTAGTTAGGCAATTTGTCTTACTAGCTACTCTGTTTATAGGTCCTACCATGTTTGTAAGGTGAAATTTTGCAGGAGATAAGCAAAACTTGCTGTTTGCTCACATCATGTATGTCTATCAGTGGATTTGTGTTATTATTGTTTGGAATTTTGTTGCTATTATAAGCCAAACTTGCAGGATATTATTATCTGGCTAACATGAGAATACAGTAGAACTCTATAAACAAAAAACCCAGCTTTCCCAATTTCAAAAGAATATTTATCTTTTCTCGAAAAAAAATGCTCCTTCAGGAATTTTAACAACTATATCCCAAGGAGAAATAGATTCTTCTGTATCACTCCTGCAATCCCTTAGTCCCCTTATTTGAATTTGATCTCCTTCTTCTGTTCATAAAAAGGTTGCCGTTGGAATCCCCAAAATCCAGGAGCAAATCCCTGATAATCGTATCCATTCTATTAGTTGTTATAGTTGGGGGCTTAAAGCAAAGAACTGAAAACACTTCCATAAGGGATCAGTCTGTGCACCATGTGTTTATCCATAATCTGACCCATTGGTCATCACCTACTTTGTGTTTAATCCCTTTGGGAAAGTGGGCACAGGCCTTTTCAATGTCATACCACACCAAACAGCTATAAGTCTGTCTAAATTCTCTGGTCTCATTTGTTGGATCTAAGACTATTTATCTTATACTATATTCCTCCATGAACTTCCATTTTCCTCTGTAAACCTCCAAACCATTTCCTAAGAGGGAAGTGTTAATAGTTATTGAATCATGTTATGCTTTTTGTAAGCAAATCCTATTCCCGTTGACCATATCCATTTTAAGCTCCTCCTTCCATGCTTTTCACAAGCGATCCCTCATAGATTTTTCCAAAGTATCTGCTACCTTGGCCAGTATAGGAAATAAGGAAAGAAAATAAGTCATTAAACTTGAGATTACAGTGTCAGTTTGTAACAACTTAACCATGCCAGCCCTGAATAATTACTTGGTCTTCTCAGCCTTCAGTCTTTTATCAAATCTTTCAATGATCGGCTCTTATATAGACTTTGAGTTATGGCCTCCCAATAGCATAGTAAGATATTTAGAGGGGACCATATCCTAATTGCCTTGGTTCTTGTAAAAAATTATGGTATAATCAGCAACTTATACATGTGAGACAATGACCTTCTCTCTTTTCAATCCGAAATCCCTGAGTCAGCCAATTCTGTTAGCCTTATGGGGGTGATCAAATGCCCTACTAATGCTAATTAACAGAGGAACATGGAAAGAAAGTCACCTATTTCCCCAAATATTGCTGTATTCTGCTGGGAAGTCTTCTATGGGAAAATCAATACTTTGGAAAACTTACAGAAAAAGAGACCCTCTCTTTGTCTTTCCCCAAATTGGTGTTCCTTGTGTAAGGCCGAGAATGAGGACTGTTTCCATTTGTTGATCTCCTGTTCCTTTGCTACAACTATATGGAGTTGGAGCTTTTGTTTATTTGGAGGTAGGTGTGCTATGCCTTCTGATTTAAGCTCGTTATTCAACCCATCTGTTTTTGTTTGGCACACTAGAAGAATTTTCTTCTAGTGGAAATGTGTCAGGGCAGTCACTTTGTGGACTCTTTGGGGGGAAAGGAATGCAAGAATTTTCTTAGAGAATGAAAGAGGATTAGATGAAGTGAAGGACTGCATCCTAACAAGAGCAATCCATTGGCTGAAAACCGTGGATATTTTTGATGATTTCTCCTTTGACGACTTGAAGAGGAATTGGCTAGTAATAGCTAACACTTCAACAAAGAAGAATAGAATTCTCATTTATCAAAAAAAGAAGAATAGAATTCTCATTTATCAAAAAAAGAAGAATAGAATTCTCATTTATCAAAAAAAGAAGAATAGAATTCTGTCAGAATGGGTTCCGCCTTTGGAAGGTGTCATCAAGCTGAACTTTGATGGAAGCAGCCAAGGCAACCCCGGGCCTTCAGGTATAGGGGGTATCCTGAGAAATAATGACAGCAACATAATTTCTTTATTCTCAGGACCGGTGGGAGTGAGGGACTCCACAAGGGCAGAAATCCTTGCTGCAGTACAAGGAATTCAGATCGCTAACCAGCTTGGGGTGGAAGCATCTCCTAGTTGAAGGGGATTCTCAGGTGGTGACAAGGTGGCTTCTAAACCCGGATACCACCATTTGGGGCTACAAAGATCTCGTCAAAAAAGTAAAGTGGTTAACCAGCAATATGAGAGTTGAGGTAAAATGGGTTAGTAGGTCTGCTAATTCTATGGCTGATGCTTTAGCCAAACAGGGGGTTTCTAGGGAAGACCTTTTTTGTGCTTCTTTGTAAGTTGTTATGAATCTGGAAATCTGTACTTAACTAGCCTAGAGAGGTTGCAACTCGTGCCTTTCCTTGGGGACTTTGTACTATTGTCTATTGCTGATTAATAAAATTATTTCAATTATCCAAAAAAAAAAACTCTATTGGGTAGAAAGAATCCTTTCGAAGACCAATTAATTTGATGCCAATAGATGATACTCAATCTTTTTTTTTTTTTTTTGAGAAAAGGTAAAGTATATTTATATTGATCATTAATACCATTTTTTTTGAGAAAAGGTAAAGTAAATTTATATTGATCATTACATTAATACCATTTTTTTTTGGAGAAAAGGTAGAGTATATTTATATTGATCATTAATTTATCTTTTGTAGGGTACCCTCTAGATGTTAACACTCGTTAGCAATGAGAATTTGATCTAGAATCCATTTACCCTTAATAAAAGGCACCTTAAGCAGTAAAGATAAACATGTTAAGCCTATTGATTGCGATTATTGGAAAGAATCTATATATACTTCTAATCAAATTCAGGTGCAACTATTCCAATAAAAAACCAGGTGCAATTAAGGTGGCTTTGTCCTTTTTGGGGATAAGTGCAGTTAAGGTGCCTTCATAGTTTTGTTAATAACTTCGTCTTGATATTTTTAGGGTATCCAACCTAGTCAACCAAGATCATATCTCAAGAATCTTGGAAGAATCCTTAAGTGAATTTAATGGGATCTGGGGCTTTATCTATGTTCATTCTATGAATCATTTCCTGGAATTCATTCTCCTCAAAGGCCCTGACAGTTCAATTGGTTTTCTCCTGCAAGATAACTCATCATTAGGTGGAAAGCATATGGTGTAGTGGATAATCGGAAGATAGAACATTCAATTTGGAGAAATGTAGTCAACTCGTGCTCTGTGTGAGAATTAAAAAAAAGATCAATCTCTCATCGCTTGGTTTATTATGAGGGTGAAAGTATTGATTTACTTTGTGAGGCTGTTTGGTTGTTCTAGTCAATTTCCAAATAAGAGGTTTTAGCAACGGTGGATATATTTTCTCGATTTATCCCCTTTCATGGCATGCTAGAATTCATGCACGGAGTGCTTATACTGCATTTTCTGTGAGGAATAGTTGTCCTTGGAATGGAATCAGCAAAATTGCAAGGATATTCTTTCTTTGGTCCTGAACTTTAGTAGTTCATATTGTTCTCATCTATTGTATGTCTTTCTTAATGAAAGAAAAAAAAATTAGAGGATTCAAGTTCAAGCACCTATAGGATATCAACTTTTGAGTCCTCTAATATGCTACTACTACACCATGTAATTATGTATATAGGTTAGCTTCTTTTATCCTATGTTAATGAAAAATATAACCCAAATGCAGCGTAATTGAGCTAATAATGATTTGGCACATTAAAGCCTAAACTTTGTGGCACACTATCATTGATGCTGATGCATATTTGTCATTTGTTTGTTTGTTTGTTGATTGACTTGATTTTATGTTCCAGTGTAAATTTTACCTATTCTTTTGACAAGTTTAAGTTTTACTATTGGTAAAACTTTGTGACACACTCCGTCATCTACTTGTGGATGTGATATTGTTTTAATCCTTTGTTTGTGTTTTTGTCATCTTAAGTAACATAATTCTCCAGTGTAAATTTGGCAATGGTGGCTTTCATCTTCTGTACTATATAAAGTGGATACTTGCCTTGGTTTCAGTGCAGGTCATAAAAGTTAAATCTCAATACCATATATCATATATGGCTGATGGTTACTTGCAACATGTGTATATCACATGCTCTTACACTAGTTTTAATATGGATTTACTTTTTGTCAAATTTGAATGTACTGATTAGTTTGTTCTTACTTAGTACATTCTGAATTTCTTTGATTATACTTTTGGAGCTTACAATTTCATTGCTGCAGGATTTAGCTTGCTACTTTCTCCTTTTTCCCCCTTTTTTGTTTATTGATTGCTTATATTTATTTTGATGCAGGCCAGTGATAGGTTTAACATTAATTCCCAGCTAGAGCATCTCCAAGCTAAATATGTTGGAACTGGGCATGCTGACTTGAATAGATTGTAAGTTCATAATGCTGAAAACTTGTTTCTTTTGCTTCTCTTTTTTGGGAAATTTTTTAAGTCTGTTTCTTTTTATGATTCTTTTCTCTGTTATATTTTTGGTTATAGTGAGTGGGCAGTGAACATCCAACGTGACAGCTATGCATCATATATTGGTCATTATCCTATACTTGCTTATTTTGCAATTGCAGAAAATGAATCAATAGGAAGAGAACGCTACAATTTTATGCAGGTACCTGTTCTTATCATGAATAAAACAACTTGTTTATTTTCATTGCTAATCTGCTATTACTTCATGCTCATGCTTATTTATTAAGAGGTCATTTGATAACAGCTGAAGTGGCTGAACTGGAAAGCTTATTGCTATTGGCTGTGTTTGGTAAGAGTGCAAAAAGTGAATGCACTGATGTGAATGAAAATTTGTTCAGAAAGATGTAAACCTGTTTTGATTTTGCACACATAAATTTACAGTTTGTTATTTGGATGTGAGAGTGAAAGCACGAATCTCAAGGCTGGATCCAACCTATTTTACATTTACCAATTTTCAGTGGAAAGTTTTGGAAGCAACTTTGCTCTCATTTTGAATGAAAAAACAGTTGAAAAAACAAATTCACTTTCATTTTCAGTAAAAAAATATGTATTCTTATCTTACGAAACGCCTGCAAAACTGAACTGGAGAGCAAATTTGCTTTGGTTCTGCATTTGTGCTCTCACCAAACACAGCCATAGTGAACAAGTCTTGAAGGAGGTTATGGGCTCCTTAATGGCTGAAGCCTGAAGCTGAAGTTGGGTAGACTAATATACCTTTGAATATTTTATTACTTAATTATCTTATCCACTAAAAGGCAAAGCAATAATTCTTTCCGTTCAGCAACTTCATCCAATTATCGAACAGCCCCTAAGAGTTGTTCTATATGCATTTTATGATACATACATTCCTCACATGTCCATGGTATTCTACTATTTCTGCTGTTAATTTATTGATGACAGTTGGGAATTTTATTATTTTGAACAAAAAATAGTTATATTTAAAACAGATTGCTTGAATTTCCAGTTGGGCTAGCCATGGCTACACAAGCCCAAAATTCATTTACATTACTGTACTAAATTTCCCCAAAAGAACTCTGTTCTATCGACTCCTTAGCCATTGCATTAGACAAGCTGTTTGTTGATCTTAGCACCCATGGAACAGTAGTAGGCAATTCTCCAGAGAAACACTTGATTACCCTCAGGACATGTCAGTATTACCATGAATCCTGGTTGTTATTCCTTAACCAGATGACTACAACCTTTGAATCTACTTCCACCACTAGGTTTCTTAGTCTCAGTGATTTTCCCAGCCCTAATTTTTGTAGAACAGCTAGCAATTCAGCTCTTATGGAGTCTCCCACTCCTAAAGGTCCCAGGAAAAAATTGCTAAAATAGGTTCATGCCCTGTACTGCTGGTTCTTCTTGTTTTGGATGTGTGTGTGTACATGTGCATGTGCATTCCTGAACCTGCTGTATTTGCATTCAGATTCATGTCAGTATCTGTGGGTGGGGTTGATGGTTAGTTCCCCAAAACATTTGCTTTCTAGTTACCCCATAAGCAAGGTAGTTTGCTGATCTAGGAATCCACCTAAATTGGACTCCAATTTTTTTGATAAGTAAAAATAACTAATTTATTAAGGTTAGTCTCAAACTATCAAAGGATACAGCTCAAAGTTTCCCACAAAGAGGTGCGAGATGCTGCCTCAAAAGCAAAGCAGAATTGCAATTGAGCCAAAAATAATTGATCCCTATGCACCCCTTGCTTTGCTAGGTCTGCCAGCCCATTAGCTGATCTCCTCTCCCAATGACAGAGTGGTTATCAACATATCTCTGTGTTTCCACAAGCCCATTCTGTTATTGGCCCAAGAAACAATTATCCTCGAGTGCATTACCCATTCTGTTGTGACCCCAGATAGCTAGGACTAACATTGGGTAATGTTCTTTTTAGATGATGGAAAATGAGAAATGACCAAGACTTAAAGCTTAAAAAGAAAAATTTTGGGAATTGAGGATTCTGGAGATCTGTGGAGAATATTATCCCACAAAATTTGATGGAAACAGAGAAAAATATATGTCAAACTTAGAAGATGGTGATGAAATAGTGGAAAATCCAAAAAATTAGGAACTGAGATCACAAATACCAAATATTTTTGTCATTACCTTAGTATGGAAATACCTGAAACTCCAATTTTGAAACCTTGTAGAAAAGAAATCAGAATTTAAAACCTTGACATGACACTTTCCCTTCATGGTTGCTATTTTCTTGGTGCTGAGATGGTGTGATTCCAGAATAGAGAGAGGAGAAGAAGGAGAAGGGAGAAGAGAGACAGAATTGAAAGAGGCAAAAAGTCGATTGGCGGCGCCAGTTTATTTAGTATATATACTAGGGCGACCATAAAAAAAAAAGGAAAAGATAAAATTACAAAGGTGCCCTTACGACACTAAACTTAAAATAAACTAAGTTATTTCAACACTCCCCCTCAAGTTGGGACGTAGATATCAATCATGCCCAACTTGTCACATAAATCATCGTGCCGCGAGTGATGTAAGCCTTTTGTAAATATATCTGCCAATTGCGCTTTGGAACTCACATATGGGGTGCACACTTCCCCATTAACAATTTTCTCTCTAATGAAGTGTTTGTCAACCTCTATATGCTTAGTTCTATCATGAAGAACTGGGTTGGCTGTAATATTAATGGCAACCTTGTTATCACAATACAAGGACATAGGGCCATCAACAGGAAAACCTAGTTCGTTCAACAAATTCTTTATCCACATGCCTTCAGCCACCCCATGGGACATTGCTCTATATTCAGTTTCAGAACTAGACCTAGCCACCACATTTTGTTTTTTGCTTCTCCTTGTGACTAGGTTTCCTCCCACAAAGGAACAATACCCACTAGTAGACTTTTTGTCATCAACTGGTCCAGGCCAATCAACATCTGTATATACTTCAATCTTCAAATGACCATTCTTTTGGTGTAACAAACCAGCTCTAGGAAACCTCTTTAGGTATCTGAGTATTCTTTCTGTTGCCTCTAAGTGTGTGATCTTAGGAGCATGCATAAACTGACTAAGAACACCTACTGCATAAGCAATGTCTGGCCTGGTCATGGACAAATATAGGAGCCTTCCCACAAGCCTCTGGAATTGTTTTACATCTTTGACAACTTCACCACAACAGACACCCAGTCTGTGATTTGGATAAATGGGAGAATTGGCTGGATTAACCCCTAGTTTTCTTGTATCCTGTAACAGATCTAGGATGTATTTCTTCTAAGAAATGAAGATCCCTTTTTGAGAGTGGGCCACTTCAATTCCAAGGAAATATGAAAGGGGATCTAGATCCTTCACCTCAAATTGAGTGGCTAAAAAATCTTTTAGTCTCTGAATTTCAGCCTTCCAGTCACCTGTGATCACTATGTCATCAACATACACTATCAAGGCTGCAATTTTTCCTTCCTCTCTTTTCACAAATAGAGTATGGTCAGTCTGACATTGTTTGCAGCCAATCTGTTGTATAGCCAGATGAAACTTGTTGAACCAGGCTCTCGGTGATTGCTTTGGACCATACAAAGACTTCTTTAGTCTGCACACTTTCTGCTCTTTGCCTAGGGCACTAAAGCCAGGAGGTTGAACCATGTATACCTCTTCCTCAAGGCCTCCATTCAAAAAGGCGTTTTTAATGTCTAGCTGGTGAAGATCCCAATCAAGATTTGCCACAAGGGAGAAAATGACTCTAATGGAGTTCATCTTGGCTATTGGGGCAAATGTCTCTGCATAATTTACACCATATACCTGGATAAACCCTTTTGTCACCAACCTAGCCTTGTACCTTTCTATTGTGCCATCAGCCTTGTGTTTCACTGTGAACACCCACTTGCACCCTACCGGTTCCTTACCCTCAGGAAGATCCACTAATTCCCACGTACAATTTTATGTAGGGCATTTATCTCTTATTTCACTACATTTGTCCATTCAGGTACTAAGAGAGCTTCTGCCACATTTTTTGGGATAAGGACACTGTCAATGGAAGAAATGAAAGCACGAAAGGAGGGTAAGATGTTCTCATAGGTAACAAAATGGGTAATAGGATACTTGGTGGTACAAGACCTAACTCCCTTCCTTTTTGCAATAGGAATGTCAAGGTCATCACCAAATGGAATTTCTATGGCAAGTTGCTTCACAGCTCTCGAATTTAGCTGGCCCTTGTGACGACGAAAAACACGGAATGGAGGAGGGTCAGGCAAAGGAGGAAGACTTGAACCTAAACCTGAACTGATTTTTCCTCCACCTTACTCTCCCCTTGAGGAGAAATTGGGGAAAAAGGATCACCTTCAAAGAAAGACACATCCATAGAGACATAGTACTTCTTGGAAATGGGGTCAAAACATCGATAGCCCTTTTGGGAAGAAGGATAACCCAAGAAGACACAAGGAATGGTACGAGGATCAAGTTTTCCACAAGTAAGAGAAAGGTCCTGAATGAAATGACAACGAAACACACAGATAGGAATAAAGAAGAGTGGAGCCTTGGGAAAAAGAAGCTGATGGGGGGCCTTGTACCCTAACAAGCGAGATGGCATACGGTCGATGAGATAGGCATCACATAACACAACATCCAACCAGAAACGTTTAGGAACATTCATGTGTTGGGGGTTCTTTCTTTCAACACCACCATTTTGTTGGGGGTTCTAGCGCAAGAGCTACGGTGTATAGATCCGCATGAAGCAAAGAACTCCGTGAGATCACTATGGAAATATTCTTTGGTATTGTCTGATTGGAAAATTTGGATTTCCGTTTGAAATTGAGTGAATATCAAGCGTTGGAAATCTTTAATGATTTTTGGTACTTCGTCTCTGGACCGCATAGGGCACACCCATGTATATCGAGAGTAGTCATCAATAAGTGTAAAGAAATATCTATAGTCAGAATAGGTTGTTAAAGTAATAGTGCCCCAAACATTAGAATACACAATGTGGAAAGGAAAATCAGATTTATTATTTCTTGAAGTAAAGTGATTTCTATAATGTTTGCTCAACTGACAAGTTTGACATGTGAAATCCGACACTGACACTGATTTAAATAAATACGATAACAAAACTTTCAATGACTCAAAAGATAAATGACCCAAACAACTGTGCCATAAAAGGACTTGACTCTTATTAGACAAACTCTTAGACTCGATAGCTGCAAGACAA